TGGGGTTTTCGGCCATTTAACAAAGAAAACGGTGTGTCACCTACCAATGAGTTATAGACACGATTCCAGGTGAAGCTCACATACTTGATTGCCTCCAGCCAAAACCTTGGAGGTAACTCAGAATCTTTCAGCAACACCTGTGCAGCCTGAACTAGAGCTCCACTTCGCAGCTCTGCCACCCCACCTTGCTGGGGTGAAATAACTGTGTGTCGTATCCCTTTCTTGTGAAAGAACTCCTGCAAAGCAGAACCAGTGTACTTAGCATTTCTGTCACTGATGATAGCTTGAACCCTGGTGGAGAACCTCTGTTCCACCCCTTCAATCCAGCTCTTGATCAGCCGTGCTGCATCCTCCCTGGATTTAAGACCGTGAGCCCAGGAATTCTGCGAGAAATCATCCAGAAAAACGAGCAGAAACCTGGCCCCCCCTAGACTTGGTGCCTTGACAGGACCGGACAAATCTATGTGAACCAGCTCAAAAGGTTTTGTGGCTACACGTTCCACCTTTGGGTAACTGCATCCTTTTACCTTTGCTAGCCTGCAGGTTTCACAATTAATGGCACTTTGACAATTTTTAATCCTACAACCTGTAACAACCTCAGGTAACACCTGCAAATCCTCTAAAGGATTGTGAATCGTTCTCTGATGCCATACGCATGCACATGTAACATTATGAGCGGGAATTGTAGCACGCTGGTTGGGAACTGTAGCACGCAACGCTTGTGCTTTCTCAACCTTCCCCTCACCTCCAAGAGACGTTTTAAGAATGAAAAGATCATTCTGTCCCTTCCGCACTTTGGCCAGTAACCTCCCCCCTTTGGAGATCGTGCAGACATCGTTTTCAAAACAAACTTTGAACCCCTTACTTAACAAATAAGGCACAGATAACAAACAATGTTGAATCTCTGGAACAATACATAAATCCACCGTCTCCTGTAAAACAGAAAGATAGGCATTAGTACACGTGGAAACTCTAGTTTTCTGTCCATTTGCAAACTTAATAGTCTGTCCCTTCGGAACTGCCGTGCAATTCCACCTCTCGACTGCAGGGGTCTCTGGAACCATGTTGCGGTTAGCTGCAGAGTCTATTACAAAGGCCATCTCGGAATTTTCCACTCGGCCGTCTTCAAACACTGCCATACTCGCCGAGACTTGATAAGACTCTTCTCCCTGCTGTTTACCACGGCCACCTGGCTCAGTTCCACGCCTGCCTGCCTTCCCAGGCTTGTTGCCATGGAAACCCGCCTGATTCCCATGGGAAATGTCCTTCACAACATCCTGCCGCGGCTCTCTGCACCGGTGGGGGCACTTGCCACTCAGATGTTGCGCCGTGTGACGAACTCCAGTGGAAAAACACTGCCCGGGGCTCCCAGCTGGCTTGGCCTTCCTCCTTCTGGAACGGCGCCTCCCACCAGCCTCGCCCCCCCCTGAAGCTGCTCTCCGCTTCAGCACAAAGGGAAAGTCCTTCAAACTTGCCTTTGGAACTCTTCGCCCCCCCGATCTGCTCACTAGCGCTCCTAGAGGCCAATACATCGGGAACAGGGCCTGCCAGTCCAGCCTTTCCAGGACTCAGTCCATCACACAGACGTGTAGAAGCATTACAACAGCTCCCCAACACTGCCCCAGCCCCCATTGGGCTTTCTGGGCATCCTTCTGCCTCTCCAGGGCTTCCTCCAGGGCTCTGGCCTTTCGCTGACGCCTCACACAAGCCTTTCAGCAAATTCCAGGCAGCCCACGCTGTCGTTACGCCCTCCAACTGAGGCCCCAGTGACGCATCAACGCATGCTTTGAGCATATTCAGCTCTTGTTGCAGCCTCTGGCTATCTTCAGCCAACACAGCCCCACAGCTTGCTTCACCTGCTCCAGCTGCTGGCCGGCTAAGGGGTGTTTCTTTTGGCTCCCACTGGTTTGCTTCCCAGAGCCCTTCAACCAAGAACCATCCCCTTATTCTCCTGGACCACGTTGCCCAACTCTTTAGAGTGAGCTTTTCCACTGGTATATCCTGGCAGTCTGCCATCTTCTCCCGTTCTCCCAAGGGGCCCCAAGCTGTACTCACAAGATCACCAGCTCATCCAGCACCCGTCCGGAGAAACGATTTCTCAGCTGCTTTCCAGCTCCCAGCTGCTTCTTGCTTTTAGCTCTGTGTTCCAGCAGCTCTCTCAGCAGCTTCTTTGCCTCTTAGACGCAGGCAAACATCAGGCAAAAAGTCCTTCCGCCTCCTGCCGGCCCCCTGCTCGGCACCGCAGACTTCAAAGCTCCCGGCAGTATCTTCCGTGACAGTTTTACAAGCGATGATTTATGGATCCATAACCTGTGACATTTGGTAGTTAGCCGTGACTCCCGCTAATTGATTTACGAACCTCGATTAGCGATATATGGCCGCCCGGCACACTTCCGCAGCGCCTCTCCGTCACGGCTCAGCAGAGTTTCCGCACAGCGGTGTAGAACTGTCACGTTGCTTGGTTCAGCTTCCAGACAAACACACAGAGTCCAGTTTGTCTATTTACAGCTTTTATTCCAACATTTCTCAGGAATTACCAGGACTATTTGCAGCCATGCCAGACCTGCGTCTTTTCCCCACGGAACACAGAGTGGGACTGACTAACTCCTCCCAAACTCCTCCCAACTTCGAAAACTGACGTCAGAATGGTGTGGCACCATGGGAAAAACTTAACCTGTTAAGTTCCAATCCCAACAGTGTTGAGGTTCTGGGTAGGGAGAGAAATGTGCTCACATTGCATTTTAAGGCAAACCTTTGTAATTCACCCGTAAGCAAACGGAGACAGAGCCGTGCTTTGAGATTAGCACTTTGAACTTTGTGAAATGGTTCTCCAAACAAAACTTGCGCACAGAAATGCATAAGCTTGTGAAAACAGTGTGTAAAACTACATTACATTTGAGGAAATTGTTTGAAAAAATGCTTAGGCTAGGCAATTGGAAGAAATGGGCAGGTAAATCCAAGCAGATTTTCATGCAGACTTTCTTTTTAATGGAAGAAATGTCTTGGTCCCAGGCACCTTCCATTTGATCAGAACTTCCCCAAAAAAGACACTTTCTGTGTAAATGAAATCTGGGTAATTCCACCCCAGGCAGTCTAAAAGCTGCACACACACCCCTCACTTCCCCCCTTTTGCTTATTCAAAGAAACTCAGCTGCTTAGGTGAACTCACTCTGCATTTGTTTGGAAGACATGAACAGGATGTGCATTTCTGGACTGCATTTATTTATTTATTCAGGCTTCTAAGTGGTTTACAAGTACAGGTAAATGGGAGGGGGTTTGCTCCTTCATTTATTGATTTATTTCCCCCCCACCCACACAAAGCTGTGATTGTGTAAGTAAAATAAGCATAAGATGCAAGTTTCCTGTATATAAAAAAAATTCAGCAAGGGTAGAATAAGGGCATCTGTTTTGAATACAACAGCTCTGCCTTGAAACATGGAAAATGATGATCATGTCAAAGAGTGCCCTTAAGCATGAACAGAATGCTTTTAACTCACCGTATAGAAACCATGACCAGCCACCCCATGCCTGGGAGTCAGGAACTGACCACACATACTGCATCACAGGCTTGGAGCAGAAAAGTGCCTCTGCCCATATCAGAAGTGCACTCTCCTCTTTGGTAAGCAGCCTAGGGTTTTCTATGTGCCCACCACTGCAGTTAGGGCCTCCCATGCCTTTAAACAGCCAGTTGCCCATTCAGCTGCTGAAACCTTTCCGCAACTACCATCTCTTTACTCAGAGAAGCTGGACCTGTCAGACTGATGCCTCTCAGGCAGTTGTGTAGGGCATAGGAGAATTTTAGAGGTGTCATCTGGGAGCAACCATCGTCAGCCACCAGACAACTGGAACAAGGGCTCAGAGCTTGCCACTCAGAAAGTGGCACAATTTCAGGGCAACACAAACCCCAAGATCTTCCCCTGACCCATTGAAGGATTCACCAGTGTGGTGTAGTGGTTAAGAGCGGTAAACTCGTAATCTGGGGAACCAGGTTCGTGTCTCCGCTCCTTCACATGCAGCTGCTGGGTGACTTTGGGCTAGTCACACTTCTCTGAAGTGTCTCAGCCCCACTCACCTCACAGAGTGTTTGTTGTGGGGGAGGAAGGGAAAGGAGAATGTTAGCCGCTTTGAGACTCCTTTGGGTCGTGATAAAGCGGGATATCAAATCCAAACTCCTCCTCCTCCTCCTCCTCCTCCTCCTCCTCTTCTTCTTGCATTGCACCTAAATGGTTCTGAGGACCGGCTGATTTTTGCCAGGGGAGGGGAGTATTTCTCCACCCCCATCTATGAGGCAAGTGTGCAACACTGGAAACAACAACCCACAGAAAGCCAGGTTGCAGAATAACCCACAAGGAGGGCTGGGGTAATGGGGCTGCTGCTCCCCTCTATCAGGCTGTTGCAAATCCAGATTTCTTCACCGACTCCATAGTGGTGCCTAATTTGCAATGGTCTCTCTCCCCCACCCCTGGATTTCGGAAATCAATTAGCACTGTCACTGAGGATGATTTATAATCTGCACGCCCTGGGCTCTGCTTTGATTCACCTTATTAGGCTTACAGCTGCTGTCTCTGAGCAGCTCTTGGCAACTAGCATGGAGGGAGGGGTGAAGTGCTTTGGGGAAGGACAGAGAGAGAAAGAGACGGGTCTCTGGGGAGAGTGTTCCCTGTTGTGTCCTCCACAAATGTGATCTGCCCTCCAAGGAAGTGGGGAGTCTGAGTCCCTGGAGGAGGAAAGCTCAGAAGAGATTTCTCCCTCTCTCTCAACTTTCTGACCATCAGGGCACCCTGATGCATCCGTAGTTCTCTTGTGTAGGGACAGAAGAGAACTTTGACTCAGTTTCCATTTAAAAAGCAGACTCACCTAATTCGTACTTTGCAAAACAAGTTGAGTTGTGAACAGAAACGCAGCCATCCTTTGAAATTTGCACTTCTCCAAATTTTGCAAGCCAGCTCTCTGGCCAAGTCATGTGTACAAAAAGGCACACACTTGATTCAAACTGATTTGTTGTATTTCATTCAAATGAATCTCAAAGCAGCTTACAAACAGTAACAACAATAACAATAACAATAACAAAACATACTGGAACATCACAATTACAACATAAATTGTATGAAATGGTTAGCAAATCATCAATAAAGCAATATGCTTGAGTAAATTATGCATAGGGATGCATATAATAGGGAAAACAACATACAAAAAATGCACTGTATTGGGGGAAATCACTCTGCAAAAATGTGTACATTAAGCAAAACTGCATACAAAACATGCTCGTTAGGAGAAATTCACACTAAAACGCTGGTGAATTTTCATGAGGACTTAAAAAAAAAAAAAGCAGAATGATTTGGAAATGCGAAGATCTGAATCTAAGACTGGAGAAACTGAGAGACACCAAAATGGACAAATTCAATTTTCCCTTGAAATTTGCACCTCTCTGAATTTTGCAGTGCTGTTCTGCAGTGTATACAATAATGCATATGCTATATTACAGTGAAAACATCACACACAAAAACATATTATATATGGGGAAATTGCTTCCCGAAAATGTGTGCAGTGGGGAAAATTCATACTAAAATTCACACTGATCAATTTACACGAGGCCTTGTGCAAGCCCCAGTGGAATGTGGGTGAGCTGGGCTAGCAGATTCCCAGATGCTGCCCAAGAGCTCCAGGGTATTCCAGTGGAACTTGCCCAGAGGAGAGCAGCCCTCTGGATCAATGAGGGCGCTGATGGTGTATGTGTCCAATATCCTAACAGCGTTGAGAACATATGACTGTAAGAAGTGCCCAGCTCCTGGGTCAGGCCGACAGGGGCCACCTAGCCTAGCATCCTGGTCTCACTGTGGCCGGTCAATGCAGACCCTGAGCCCAACAGCAGCAACTCTCTCTGCTTGGGTTTCCCTAGCAGCAATGCATGGGGAGAAGGAGCCCCCTTGCTTTAAATAGTAGAGAGCAGCACTCAACAGAACGGTCCAGGAGCCTGCCTGTCTCCTCCAGGTGGGGGCCACCCAAGAGTTTGGCCACGAAGGAAACGGGGAAGCAGAGGTTGAGAAGTGGAGGGTTGTTGGAGAGCTCTGGAGCAGCGGTCTGTTGATGTTGTGCTGCCCAGCGCTGGAGCCTGCTCAGAGGATGCTCACTTCAGGAAGATGCGGGTTTTCTTGTCCCCAATCAGGGTCCTGAAGGAACAAAAGGATGAACCACTTAGAATCAGTACTTTGGGGGGAGGGCATTCCTAGGCTCCATTTATAGCCACTGGAGAGGATGGGTGACTCTAAACATAAGAATCTAAGAACAGGCTGCTGGGTCAGGTCAGTGGCTCAATGTCGTGGGCTGGCTGGATGTAGAGGAGCAGTGGGAGGGACTGGTTAGGGAACCCCCAGGGGAGGAAGGCTCAGAACCAGGGGGTTGGTGTGGGATGACGATGAATGGACAAAGGGAGAAGAGGTAGCAGACTGAGAGGAGGAGATGTCAGAAACAGAAGAGGCAATGGTTTAGTGAGCGGGAAGAGTCTGTGGCAGAGAGCAGTCCAAAATGAGAAGCAGGAGTGGAGGCCTCAAGAGATAGAGATGAGGCAGACTGCTGAAGAAGCCAGGGAGTTTCCCCGTCCAAAGGGGGCCCATCTAGTCCAGCCTCTTGTTGACACAGTGGCCAACCAGATACCTGGGGGAAACCAGCAAGCAGGATTTGAACACAGAGCACCCTCCCGTCGTGTGGTTTCCAGCAATTGACATTCAGAAGCATTGCTTTGGCTTTGCTTCAGGGGCCTGATGGGAGTTGCAGTTCAGCAACAGTTTCAACTTCTAAATGCCTACTGAAAACTTTTCTATTCTATCAGACATTGGCAGGCAGCTAAGAATACATCTTTCCATAACAGCTAGCTAATTTTCCCATTTTTACTTTTTATATTATATTTCTTGTCTGGTTTTATGTTGAATTGTAGAATGGCAAACTGCCATTCTTTTTGGGGTTTTTTTTTTAACAAAAATCAGAGCATTTCATAAGTATGTTTATAAATTTAATAAAATAAATCTGAAGGGCACCAGGTTGGGAATGACTGGGCTACACTATGATTGTAGAATGGAGCTCAGCAGTCCAGTGTGGCGCAATCTCTGGTGAAGTTGGGAGCATGACATAGCCCCCAAAGAGTAGCTGGTGACATTGATTCAGAGGCCCCAAGCTCTGTGAGATAGAGCCAGTGTGGTATAATCAGAACAGGGTGGGAGACCAGGGACTCAGCTTCATTAGTTAAATAACGCTTTGAATGCATTACAAACATGCAACACCAGATGGCACCAGAGAGCAAACAATTTTTTTTCTATGCGATTTTTACCTAGATTTTTTTTTTGTTACAACAATTTAATTTCTGACTTATTTATAGAATATTTTTTCCTGTGTGTAGATCCAACCCAGGGTTCAAATCCCCACTCTGGCATGAAACTCACTGGGCCAATCACCTTGGGCCAATCACCGCCCCTCAGCCTAGCCTACCTCACAGGTTTGTTGTGAGGATTAAATGAGGAGGGGGAGAACCATGAGCTCCTTGGGGGGGGGGAAAGGTGGGATATAAATGCTGCTATTATTATTATTATTATTATTATTATTATTATCATCATCATTATTATCATTATTATTAAAGACTTGCACTCCTATCTCAACACAACAAGAGCTTTCCATCCACTCACATTACCACCTCCCCCCTCACTTTGGGAAGTGGAAACACACACACCCCCATCTACCTACCTTATCAATGCACCAACAAGGAGTCCGGCCACCATAGGGCCGACCCAGTACACCCAGTGGTAGTCCCAGTAGTTGGCGACCAGTGCAGGACCAAACGCTCTGGCTGGGTTCATGCAGCCTCCTGAAACACCTCCCCTGCATGGCGGGAAAAGAAAAGGAGCAGCCGTGTATCAAAGGTCAATGCTGAGCAAACATCCCATAATATATCCCAAAGCCTCCATGAAAGCAGAGCTGCCGTTTCCCAAGAGGGGGCACATTTCAGAGCCGGGTGTGAGAGCTCCTTACCATTTGCCGACAACTGTATGTGAAAGGGAAACCGCAGGATTTTATCCCTACACCCATCTGTCAGCAACAGATCAATCCTGGTGTCTGAAGCCCTTCTCAGTGTTTAAGCAAAAGCCTCATCTCTCACTAAAGATGGGGAGCAGGGCTGGTGGCTGAATAACCTTTTTTGCCTTGATAACTGTCCGTTCTGGTTAGTGGATGCAAGCAAGGCAAGGAGACCCAACAGGCAATCTGCTGCTGGCTGTCAGGATTCGCATGAAGGACACTGGCACTGAGCATGTGGTGTCAGCACTGAGGCTGGCTTGAGAACACAAAAGTGCGTAAGGAGCCCTGCTGCATCAGGCCCGTCTAGTCCAGCCTCCTGCTTTCACAGTGGCCAAATACTCCTAAGAACCTCAGAATCAAGGTAGACTGCCTCTGGACCCGGGGGTTCCATAAGAGGAGCCTGGCTGCTGGATCAAACCAGGGGAGGCATCTAGTCCAGCATCCCATTCTTACAGTGGCCAAGCAGATGCCCCAATGGGAAGCCCGTAAGCAAGGCCAGAGTGCAAGTCCCAGCACCTAGGACTGAGCAGAATCCTGCCTCTGGCAGTGGAGGGAGAACACAGCCCTTGCTGATAGCTTTCCGCATTATCAGCCAGGAACAGATCCAACCCTAAGTGTCTTTGCAAGGAATGTGAGCAATTGAATGCAGGTTGAGGAAACCATGAGCTGAATCTATCCAAACACATCTCACAGCTCATTCTCAAGCCAATATTTCGGTGATGAATCAATCTGATGCTTTTTTATAAAAACAAATGCATTTTGGTATGTTCTTTTGAGAGGAGAATTGCACCTCAAAATTCAGAGTATTGTGAAATCCAAAGGATAATTACGGTACATTCCAGTCCATGTGTTGGTCTGGGAGGGGTGAATTACATCAGCCCCCTTTGCAGGAATGCCAGCCAAACTCACCCTGCGAGGATGTCCGCCGTCACGGTGAAGCCGATACAGAAAGGAGCCAGGGGGGTCTTAGTCTTCTCGTTGATGGCCCCCATGCAGACCGTCATGACCAGGAACATGGTCATCACAATCTCACCCACCAGAGCTGCAGGGATTTGGTCATCCGAGGTGACGGAGGTGAACGCTGCTCCTGTGGCATTGTCATACCTTTCCCAGACGGTCATCACCTGCAACAGATTTAGAGGTTTCCAAATTTAATTTCAGATGCACAAGGGATACAAAAGTAGGTGTGGACATATTGGGTCCCCCCTCCCCCACACACATTTTAGTCCCATCATGTATGGCATGGACCTCTAAGACCACTTGGTTGTTTTTCATACCGTTGCCACTGGAAGTCCTTTGATAGTGGGGCAAACAACACGAGAAATGAACTACAGAACCATCTTTCCAAATCTGCACTGATCCAAATGTTGCAATGCAGTTCTCCATACAACTGATGTTTGCAAAACTTAGGGTTGCCATACGTCTGGGAAATCCCGGACACGATGCCCTCTTTTGGGGGGGCCAGTATGACCATCTTGGGGAGGGGAATTTTCACATATGAAAGGAAATGTCCAGGATTTGGGGTTTTGATTTTTTAAAATTTTAGTATTGTTTTGGCGGGGCTCAGGCAGCACGGGCTTGGGGAGGGTGTGGGCGCAGGTGCAGGCACAGGCAACCTGGGCTCAGGCTCGGGTGCGGGTGGCTTGGGCTTGGACTTGGGCACAGGCTGCTCTGCATGCCAAGGCTACTGCCAGCCCAAGCTGGGGAAACAGGCATGTAGGCGCAGCAGTGGCCCCGTGCACCTGCACCCATGTGCCTCATTCCCCGGCTAAGGCTGGCAGCAGCTCAGGCTATCCTCATTTTTACTCTTCAAGATATGGCAACCCTACAAAACTGCACACCTTAGGGGAAAGTATGCATAGAAGCTAATACACTGGTGAAAAGAACATACAAAAGCATGCATTATACTACTTGCAAAAATGTGTGTCAAAACTGCATTGAAAATGTGTTTATTAGGAGAAATTTCCAAGCAATTTCTGATGGATTTTCATGACCATTTTTCTTTAAAAAGAAAAAGAAATCCACAAATTGCTGCAGAAATCTGGAAAACGGAACTTCAGACTGGGAAAATGAGAAAGTGGGAGAAGGAAAACTGAAGGGTCCTTCCATCCTTAGCTGTGAGTCCTAAGCACACACCGCCCCAGCTCCTGCTGCATTAACAGATATCATAATTGATGTTCTTTGGGCATTTTTCAGCGGGGCATGCTTGGGAGAATGACAGAGACCTGCCATCTGCTGCTGCCACTGATTATGGCAATGCCATGCCATTCCAAGAAGCAAACCTTCACACACACCCATTGACAGATGTTGTCTTTCCCCCTCCCCTGTCCAGCCCCATCACCAATCATACCCTGGCCAGCCCGGCTCCGATGAGCCCACCACACAACTGGGAGATCCAGTAAGGAATGACCATCACCATGTTCAGCCCACCCACGAGCCAGGCCCCAAGGGAGACCGCAGGGTTATAATGGCCACCACTGTAGGGGAAGAGGAGAGAGAGCATTGTTAGAGGGCTCCTGGGAAAGAATAGTGTACTCCATGGGTAGGCAAATTAGGGCCCGGGGGCCGGATCCGGCCCAATCGCCTTCTCAGTCCGGCCCGCGAACAGACTGGGAATCAGCGTGTTTTTACATGAGTAGAATGTATCCTTTTATTTAAAATGCATCTCTGGGTTATTTGTGGGGCCTGCCTGGTGTTTTTACATGAGTAGAATGTGTCCTTTTATTTAAAATGCATCTCTGGGTTATTTGTGGGGCATAGGAGCTCATTCCCCCCCCCACAAAAAATATAGTCTGCTGCCACCCCCAAGGTCTGAGGGACAGTGGACCGGCCCCCTGCTGAAAAAGTTTACTGCCCCTGGTCTACTCTATCCTACTGCACAGACAGATGCACAAATATAGGAGAGGGTGGATGCCTGGCTTGACAGCAGTCCATGTGAAAAAGACCTAAGGGTCTTAGTAGACAAAAAGCTTACCAGTTTGCTGCAGCAGCAAACAAATCTCATGCTGTGCTCAAAGATATTTAGTGTCCAGATCAAGGGAAGTAATAGTACCACTCTATTCTGACTTCGTCAGACCCCATTTGAAACCCACTGCATCTAGCTCTGGGCACCACAATTTAAGAAGGATATTCACAGGCTGGAATGTGCGCTGAGAAGGGCCCAATAGACAACCCCCCCCCACCCTTTGCTGCTCCTCTGAGATCACAGCGCACTCTGCACATAACGTTATCATCACCAGCAGTTACTTCTGATAGGACATGAACAGTTTATAACCTGAGCTTTCACCTCCCCTGTTGTGAGGCCCAAGACTCACTTCTGCACTAAGTCCCTTCCGAACTGATGTTACCGACAAGCAGATAAAGAGGGAGGGAAAAACAGATCATAAACTACAGGTGACTAGGGTTTAGGGTTGCCATATTTCAAAAAGTAAAAGCTTTGGGGGGGGGCTGAAAATGATTGAGCTTTTTTTAAGACAAACCCCAAAGTTATTGAGCGGGTTTTTTCCCCAAAATGACAAAAAAGTGATTTATTTATTTTTATTGACTTGCCTAAGATCCAGGACAAAATGCCACCTTTCGAAAATCCCCCCCCCCCAAGATGTCAATTCTGCCTTTGAAATCCTGGTCATGTCCGGGAAAATACGGACATATGGCAGCCCTACGTCCTGATTGAAAGGGACTTGTTTACTCCATTAATCAAGGAGAACAAAGTTTTAAGGGCAAATGTTCCTTGCGTCAAGAGGCAAAGAGATTAACCCTTTTTGGACCAGTCACCTTACTGTCATTCCAGCTGGGGAGCTGGAGTTCGAATTGGAGACATTTGGAATATGACTGTCCCCATTCCAGAACGCAGCCTCACCTCAATCAGATTCAGAGGTGACCACAGACCCTTCCAAATTAGCTCCTGGCCCCCTATTGGGATTCATCGGTACCCAACCATCTCAAGGTTGCCTCATAGGCAACACTTCCTCTCCTCTCTGCTTAAGACCTTGGAGGCAGGGTTGAGCATCTTCTTCTTTTAAAAAAAGGATGTCTCTGAGCACATTCTGGACCCTAAGGATATGCTTTCAGTGTTGGAACTGTATTGAGTTCACAGAGCTTTCACACAAAAGTCCACTCTCCCTCTCACTTTCTTCATTTTAGCTGTCTCATTCAGGTAGGGAGAAATTTATTTTGTTGCTGCTGCTGTTCAGTGATGGCTTTCTATGTTCCTGTGTTCATGATGGATCTACTGAGAATCACCCAGAGATATGCCAGGAGATCCCGACTGGACATCTACCCCCGCTTTCCTTCCACCCCACTGCCAGAAGCTGCTTGCTGAAGGACGGCTTCCCACATCAGGGTCTACAACCCCCTGAGAGATCTCTCTTGGCCCCTTTCAGTTAAACTTCGCCTGGCAGGGGGAAAGGAGGAATGCCATTCCTGCTGCCATCTCAGGACATAGAAGTAAGAACAGAACTGTCCTCTCACTGGCAGGCTCAGGTTTCCACAGGGGCCAGACATTCAGCTCAGCTCACATTTAAGGGTGAAGCCACCTAATTCTCACTTTGTGAAACATTATATGAACAGAAGCACAGCGACTCTTCAAAATTTTTACCCTTCTCTGGATTTTGCAATGCATTTCTCCAGCCTAACAATGTGTGTTCAGAAATGCACGACTGAAAGTGACATGAAAAATGCATTATATGACAGGAAATCACTTTTCCATTAGGCAAAATTGCAGGCAAATATGTGCATATTCGAATAGATTTGCCCTAAAATGCTGATGAATTGTCATGAGGTTTCCTTTTTAAATTGCAAACTGATAAGGAAATGTGGAGAACTGACGTTAAGATTGGAAAAAGAAGAAACAGAAATTGACACATCCATCCATCCCTCCTTTCTCTCCCCACCCCACCCCAAAAAAGGTCTGGCTGGAGAGGCCTAAGCCTTGCAAAAACTCCCAGAAGCCTTTGCAGGAACAGCCACCTTCCCTGGGAGCTGAGAGAACCCAAGAGTCCTGTTCCTGCCCCTCTCCCCCTGCTGCAAGTCCACCTTCCCTCTTTCCTTCACCTGATGTTCCCCAAAACCGCAATGGTGAGCCCCAAGGCCAGTCCGTGCGCCAACGCCGGCTGCAGCCTCCCGGTGCCATCCGTGTTCTCGATGACTGATGCACAGCCAATGAAGATGAAGAAGGCCGACCCCACCAGCTCTCCGATGCAAGGCTGGACGTACTGCTCAAACCAGTGGGGCTGCGGGGGGCTGCTTTTGCCATCCAGCTCCAGCTCCTTGACGGACATCCGGCCAAATTCCACGTCTGTCATGCCTGGGCAAATCTGGAAGACAAGAGCCAGGCTTTGGTGACCAGCCAGCACCTGGTGAGCCCTCCCAGGTCAGCTGAACGGAGGTTGACCCTGGTGTGTGACACAATGAAGACTTAAATCCAAATGCCACTGTATGTGCCGTTCCCATGGGGCGCTCTGTTCTGGACTCGGGGCAAGGACTTGGCAAGGCTGCATCCCCATTGTTCCCTCTCTGGCTCCCACCACATAGGAGAGCTGGCCTTCCGCAAGGGAGAGGGAAACTTAGTCACCGTCCTCTTAATAATAGGGCACAACAATTGCCTCAATTGATAAGGCCAAGGTCCATCTGGCCCTGCATTCCGTTTCTGCAGAGCAGCCAAGCCAGAGTTTCGAGAAATGAGCGAGAGGAGTTGCTTTCTATCATGTCAGCCCCTTGATTCACTGAGCTCAGGATTGTCTGCATTGATAGGAAGATACGGGGGTTTCAGGCAGGGGACATTCCTACCTGGAGATGCCATTAAGGTAAAGGGACCCCTGACCATTAGGTCCAGTCGTGGCCGACTCTGGGGTTGCGGCGCTCATCTCGCTTTATTGGCTGAGGGAGCCAGCGTACAGCTTCCGGGTCATGTGGTCAGCATGACTAAGCCGCTTCTGGCGAACCAGAGCAGCACACGGAAATGCCGTTTACCTTCCCGCCGGAGTGGTACCTATTTATCTACTTGCACTTTGACATGCTTTCGAACTGCTAGGTTGGCAGGAGCAGGGACTGAGCAACAGGAGCTCACCCCATCACGAGGATTCAAACTGCCAACCTTCTGATCGGCAAGTCCTAGGCTCTGTGGTTTAACCCACAGTGCCACCCGCGTCCCAGATGCCATTAGCAGCTATTAAAGCTGAGACCTTCTGCACGCAAAGCAGAGGCTCTGCCTGCTGCAGCTCTTCCCCTAAATGAAAATCAAGATTCCAGTCCTCATGTTTCTGTCTTATACGGAGCCAGACCGCTGCTCCACCTGGCTCAGGATTGTCAACCCTGACTGGCAGCAGCTCTCCAGGGTTTCAGGCAGGGGACAGTCCCAATTCTACTTGGAGGTGCCATCATGGAATGAACTGGAGACCTTCTGCATAAAAAAGCAGGGTCTCTGTCACTGAACTACACTTCCCAAGGCTATCAGATTCACACATGCACATTGAAGCTGTGGAGGAAGAATTAGGGGAGCGCCACTGGTTTGGTCGCACCAGGCACAGAGGCTCAGCAACATTGCAGCTCTGATTTACAATGGCACAAGGCAGTAGGGCGCCAAATTTCAGTGTCCCACAGGGCACCGCTGAAATTTAAGACTGCAAGATCTGCCACTGGCCTCACTTGCTCTCCACGCTTGCCATTGCCAGCAGCTTGTACTCAGAGACATGCTGCCTCCAAAAGAGGGGGCAGAACATTGCCATCATGGCTAGCAGTCACGGATTGCCTTATCTTTCATGGATTTCTCCAATCCCCTTTTAAGGTCGATGGCCATCGCTACATCTTCTGGGAGTGAATTCCTAAGAACATAAGAAGAGCCTGCTGCATCAAGCGAAAGGCATATCTAGTTCAGCATCTCACTGTCAGGAGGTCCTACACATGAGTAGGAGTCCAGCAGAGACACATGCCCGACTGGGATGTTCTCTCCCTCATGGCTGGTCGTTCGGGAGATTCAAAATCTTTCTCCAGCCTGAACATCGCAGCAACTGATACCTAAGGGGCATCACACAGGCAGTCAGCGTTCAGACTCAGTAGCGCAGCAATTTGGCTAAACTAACGTTCTTAACCTGAAACTGTTCTTAACCTGAGGTACCACTTTAACTAATGGGGCCTCCCGCTGCTGATGCACTGTCGCCACGCGATTACTGTTCTCATCCTGAAGCAAAGTTCTTAACCCAAGGTACTATTTCTGGGTTAGCAGAGTCCATAGCTGTCAACTTTTCCCTTTTCTTGTGAGGAATCCTATTCGGAATAAGGGAATTTCCCTTTAAAAAAGGGAAACGTTGACAGCTATGGCGGAGTCTGTAACCTGAAGCGTCTGTAACCTGAAGCGTCTGTAACCCAAGGTACCACTGTATTTACATACACACACTTGGAGCATCATTCCACACTTAGGTACTATTTGCTGTGATGTTTGGTCTGGAGAAAGATTTTGAATCTCCCAAACAACTGACCAGGAGGGAGAGAACATGCCAGTCGGGCATGTTCTTCCGGACTCCTACTCATGTGTAGGACCTCCTTACACTCACGGTGGCTGACCAGATGCCCCAAAGCGATGCCCACAGGCAGGATCTGAGCACAAGAGCAGCTCTCTGCCACTGTGGCTCCCAGCAACTGGCATTTTGAAGCATTGCCGCCTCCAACGGTGGTGGCAGAGCATGGCCATTGCAGCTGGTAGCCATTGATAGCCCTCTCCACAAATTTGTCCGATCCTCTTTTAAAGCCATCCAAGTTGGTGGCCATCCCTGTCTCCTGTGGGAGGGAGTTCCACAGTTTAACTGTGCACTAAGGTGTGACAAAGGTAAAGGGACCCCTGACAATTAGGTCCAGTTATGACCGACTCTGGGGTTGCGACGCTCATCTCGCTTTATTGGCCAAGGGAGCTGGCGTACAGCTTCTGGGTCATGTGGCCAGCATGACTAAGCCACTTCTGACGAACCAGAGTAGCGCACGGAAACGCCATTTACCTTCCCGCCGGAGCGGTACCTATTTATCTACTTGCACTTTGACATGCTTTCGAACTGCTAGGTAGGCAGGAGCAGGGACCGAGCAACGGGAGCTCACCCCTTCACGGGGATTCGAACCGCCGACCTTCTGATTGACAAGTCCTAGGCTACAGTGGTACCTCGGGTTACAGGCGCTTCAGGTTACAGACACTTCAGGTTACAGACGCTTCAGGTTACAGACTCCGCCAACCCAGAAATAGTACCTCAAGTTAAGAACTTTGCTTCAGGATGAGAACAGAAATTGTGCAGCAGCGGCGCAGCGGCAGCGGGAGGCCCCATTAGCTAAAGTTACCACTCAGGTTGGGATGCGGGTGCCGCTGTGGGTTAAAGCCTCAGTGCCTAGGACTTGCCGATCGAAAGGTCGGCGGTTCGAATCCCCGCGGCGGGGTGCGCTCCTGTCGTTCGGTCCCAGCGCCTGCCAACCTAGCAGTTTGAAAGCACCCCTGGGTGCAAGTAGATAAATAGGGACCGCTTACCAGCGGGAAGGTAAACGGCGTTCCGTGTGCTGCGCTGGCTCGCCAGATGCAGCTTGTCACGCTGGCCACGTGACCCGGAAGTGTCTGCGGACAGCGCTGGCCCCCGGCCTATAGAGTGAGATGGGCGCACAACCCTAGAGTCTGTCAAGACTGGCCCGTATGGGCAGGGGTACCTTTACCTTTACCTTTACCACTCAGGTTAAGAATAGTTTCAGGCTAAGATTAAGTTCTTAACCTGAGGTACCCCTGTAAATGAACAAGGGGGAGAGAGAGAGACTTCCTATACTCTCCAGCAAGCCCTCTCTAACATTTTCCACCCATTCCCAAGGCAAAAGGTTTGAGAGGGAATTCCTTCCCCATCCATCCACTGTTGCTCACTTACCAGCTCCAACTATTCCAGCTGTCTGCTCCTGAAAGAGAGAACAGAGATGCCTGCTTAACCACCAGCAAGTCCTTTCTGCAGAATGGTTCTGTTTCCTCAGCGCCGAATGCTTTACTATCCCCGTAAAATATTGGCACACTCCCTGCTTGACCTGTGGTATAAAAGAAGTGTTTAAAAAAAAAAAAGGTGTGGGTGGGGGGAGTGGAAGGGATTTGTGCAGTTAAAAAAAATGCAGTAAAAGTCATTGAGTGTGTTTCAGCTGACAGAGAAATAACAGCTATTTATCTGGGTGGTTCTATGGTTCAAGGATTTGTTTTGCGGGCCTGAGCCAAGTCTGGTTGCCTGCCTGGACTGAAGTGCAGAGTGCAAAACCCGTGGCGCCACAAGGGAGAAGGGGAGGGGAGGGAACAGGTCCTCCTCAGAGCATAGGAACTTTCCCTGCAGTTGCGGTCTCTCTGCACGTGTGGAGGAGAGAGTGCTCCTGTGCACGTGCAGAGTGTCATCACCGGTGCCTTTCGTCAACAACTAGGAAAGCCTCACCCAGGCCACCTACCAGGAACTACCAGGTGATGCCCTAGAGCCCGTTCACACTGTCGTGGAATGTGCAGAGTATTACTAAGGAACAGTGCCCCTGAGCATGTACAGAGGGTCTTTCATTATGCGCCATCAGTCAGTCTTTGGGGAAGGAGGACTGGAGGAAGCTGGGCATCTATGGGGTGGAAATTGCCTGTAAAGTTTTGTTTTTTTAAGCCTTTCTGGAAATGTCAGTGTGGTGAGCAGAAATTGCCGTTAGGCATTAGGAACGGAACTGAAAAACAAAACAGTTATGTACAATGTTATGCCATTATTGCTGCCTTGGCCAATCTGGCATCCTCTACACTGTACAGATCTCTATAAGGCAGCCTTTGCCAGACTGGTGCTGGCTAGACCCACCACCTTATAGAGATCTGTACAGTGTGTCAGAATATAGAGGACTGCAAGCAGCTCTGGTCTCAGACAATGGACCTCTTGCCCTCTAGCATGGCTCAGTGGCCTTACTGGAACCATGAAGGTCTCTTTAGTTAATATAATAATACAGTGGTACCTCCAGATGCGAACGGGATCTGAGCCCTGTTCACATCCTGAAGCGAACGCAACCTGCGTCTGCATGTCTGCGCGTGCACGGGTCATGATTCACCGCTTCCGCGCATGCGTGTGACGTCATTTTGAGCGTCTACGCATGTGCGAGCGGCGAAATCCGGAAGTAACGCATTCCGTTACTTCTGGGTCGCTTTGGAGCGTAACATGAAAATGCTCAACCTGCAGCATATTTAACCCAAGGTATGACTGTAATTTATTATTTATACCCCGCCCATCTGGCTGGGTTTCCCCAGCCACTCTGGGCGGCTTCCAACAAAATATTAAAATACAGTGGTCTGTTAAACATTAAAAGCTTCCCTAAACAGGGCTGCCTTCAGATGTCTTCTAAAAGTCTGGCAGTTGTTCGTATCTTTGACATCTGGTGGGAGGGTGTTCCACAGGGTGGGTGCCAATACCGAGAAGGCCCTCTGCCTGGTTCCCTGTAACTTAGCTTCTCGCAGTGAGGGAACCGCCAGAAGGCCCTCAGCGCTGGACCTCAGTGTACGGGCAGAATGATGGGGGTGGAGATGCTCCTTCAGGTATACTGGACCGAGGCCCTTTAGGGCTTTAAAGGTCAGCACCAACACTTTGAATTGTGCTCAGAAACGTACTGGGAGCCAATGTGGATCTTTCAAGACCGGTGTTATGTGGTCTTGGCGGCCGCTCCCAATCACCAGTCTAGCTGCCACATTCTGGATTAGCTGTAGTTTCCGGGTCACCTTCAAAGGTAGCCCCACTACTTTTCGTAAATGCAGTCCTACAGCTTAAAGGTGATAAAAGACTTAAATGCCTCAGAAAATAATAAAAAGTACCTTAACAGTATGTGCAGAGGGACTGAGTTAACCTGGATGGAGAGATGTATGATGAAATCCCTTGTCTTTGGCACAGCTAGAATAAAGGCCACTGCAGAAAGGTAATGGTCTCATCCATTGGCCCACCCAACTTTTGACTCTGGGCCTGGCCACCACTGGAATGTGGCCCTCCACTCATTTCCCTGGAAAGGAATGTGGCCCTTTGGCTGAGAAAAGGTTCCCTTATGCCCGCCCTAGGACGTCTCAGCCAACTGATCTTTTATTTGTTTTGTTTAATCAGAAAGGCATGGATTGCAAAAGCACCATGAATATTATCAGGCTTCAAAGACACAGAGACCAAAGCACGTAGCTCCTAAGATATGGAAATAACCCAGCATCCAATTACAAAAGTGTGGAGATTCTAGTACTCAATTAAATCAGTGTATTCTCATTATGAAACACATCATTTGCTTTTGTTTATGTAATAAATTTCTATCCCACACCTTCAACAGCTACAATCCCCAGGGTGGCAAGCAGTTTAAAAAATACAAAAAAATAAAATCTAAAAACATGTTATAATTAATTACAATAAAAATATCATCCTACGAACGGCAGAAAGCAAATCACAGCAGCTGTTGTAAATGCAGTCCTACAGCTTAAAGGTGATAAAAGACTTAAATGCCTCAGAAAATAATAAAAAGTACCTAAACGGTATGTGCAGAGGGATCGAGTGAACATCCATGGCAAGGGTACCGCAAAGAGATAATTTGGGAAGGGTGAATCTGCCCATTTTAGTTTCTCCCAGTTTCTCAAATTCAGTTTTGCACATTTCGCAGCAATTTGCAAATTTCTTATCTTTAAATCCTCGCAGAAATTCGTTAGTATTTTAGTGCAAATCCTTCCCAATAGGCACATTTTTTGTGTACACATTTGACTCATATACATACATTTTTGCAAGCAATTTCCCCCAAAAGCATTTTTGTATGCTATTTTTGCTAATGCATGCATTTTATATGCATGCTTCCCTCCAATATCCTTTTCTGTTTGTTTGTTTGTTTACATTATTTAGTCGGAGGACTGCTCTGCAGAATTCAGTGAGAAGTGTGAATTTCTTAGTTTCCAATTAAAATGCAAACAAAAACCAAATCTCTCCCCCATCCTTATCTACAACCCAAAAGACACTCCCTCTGGTAACCACCCGTCACATCTCAGAAGTTGGGGGCATTTTGCAGGCAGCTTCCCATACAGGTCTCACTGGCTGGAGAAGGTCTGTGCAGGAGAAGATGGTGTAGCGAATTAATCATTATTAACACAGTCCCTGAACTATCTTTAAGCCTCCCAGTGGACAGAGATAAAGGTGCTGGAAGCAATTGCTTAAAGCATCTTTCCCCAGCCTGGAGCCCTGCAAATGCTTTGGACCCGAACTCCCAGAGCCAGTCAGGATGGCTGTGTCTCCATCAAACCTAGAACCACACAGCTGTGCTGGCTGGGACTGATGGCAGTTGTGGTCCAAAACATCTGGAGGTCACAGGTTGGGGAAGTCTGGCTTAAGTGACACCAATCAATTCACCGGGTCGGGCTCAATTCTTGGACTTAACAGCAGGGCTTTCAGGACAGAGAGGAAATCTCAGGTACTGGTGCCTGCAATAAAGTTAGTAAGTCTTACACAGGATTTTTTAGCTTAAAGGAAATAAGTCTGCAATGCTGAGAGAAGTTAATTACCCTTTGCTTGTTCCTCTGAACCTGGAAAATAGGACACTTTGCTGGTGCGAGTGATTCTGGTGGTGTAGTTGCAACTCCTCATTGATGAGACGCTGCTCCACGACAGCCCCCTCCAAAAGATGCCTTTTTATCCTTCTTCGGAGGCTGGGGAGAGGGCTTGCCCTCCTTGGTGCTCATTGGTTGGTGGACAAGTAAGAGTTCTTGGTCTGCCCCTCCCTCCAGTATCTGACAGGTATTGCATACCCCTATTTTCCTCTGGAGGGGAGGACCTCAGAGGTAGATGTTGTAATCTCAGCGCCAACAGCCAGCATCTTCGGGCAGTTGTTAGGGCTCTCGCATCCTCCTGATAGGGTCGCCAGCACCAAGGCCTCGTCTTGCCCCCTTGAACCAGGTGACTGGGTTTCTAAGCCATCATTTGAAAGGCCCAAAGTGTCCCAGAGAGACACAGTGTCAGGCATTGTGGGAAATTGTAATGGTGGGCTAGAGGCTAAGTCGCCACTGCTGCAGTGATGTGTATGGCCCAGGAAGTCCACTGACGTAGGCAAGAGTCTGCCAGGGGATATCTTGTCCAGGGCCCCCTCAAACCCAGAGCCAGCCCTGTATATACTATATATCATTGATTTGTTTTGCTCCTCAGCCAACAAAAGGCTCCCAGAGTGGCTAACAGATCACTAAAAAGGAAGAGAGGCGCACAACAGAAAATGAAACTGGATTGGGATGGAGGAGGAAATGAACAAACTCAGGAACTAGCTCATAATATTCATTTCATTTATTAAATTTGTATACTGGTCTTTATCTGAAGGTCACTGGGCAGTACACAACATGGCGCATCTTATTAATTTGGTCACCCAACACTCTTTTCAGCAACAGTATGCAGTTTCTTGGTACACTGTGGGATCCATTTTGTCTGGCTAAATCCATTTTTACTTGGGAATGGATATAAGGTGAGAGAAATCCAAACAACGGGGAAACTGGAGCACACCAGGAGAGAGAAAGCAACAGAATTTGCCAGGCAAAAGTGGGCAGTTGATACCCAACAGAGAAGACCCAGCCTCAAGGGTTGCCACTCAAGATCACCTGACCACTTCAGGAAACCCCTGGACTGGGTCTGAAATTGGCCTACCAGCCCTGCCCTCCAAAAGTGGCCTAAGGATGGTTTGGCTTGAACCGTGCCCAACGATCCATCACCTGATACTATGTGGCATCAGGGGCAGAACAAGTAAATGGCAGGAAGAATCAGGAACACACACACACACCACTTCAGTGCCCTCCTGGTTCTTCTTTTCCAATGGCTGGCATAGGAGTTGACACTCTTGGACCTGACGCTTTTCCCCATTGCTCAGTGACAACCAAATTCAAAATGTGCTGAAGTAAAGCTGGAGAGAAAGACTAGAAGACCCTTTTGTGTTCCTTCCAACTCTACAATTCTATGGTTCTATTAAATGCTTTCTCATTCAAACCACAGCTGCAAAGGAAGATGGTTGTGCTGGCCCAAGGGGCTGCTGGGAGTTGTAGTGCAATGCATCTTGAGGGCACCAGGTTGTCGTTCTTAGCTGGGAACATTCTGTTCCAACTTCCCGTGTCTCTTCAGCTATCCCTCTGAACTTGCACAGGAGATTCTCATTTCCCGAAATTTAGGAATGCCCATTTGCTGCTGAGTCCTTGAATTAAGATACTGGGCTTTGTCTTTTCCTTGCCTCGATTGATCATTAGCCAGGGGAGTTTCAAGGACAGAAACATCCTCATCACGTTTTTATGTTCAAGAGAGCTCAGGAGGGCTTACTCTCAAGGGCTGCACACGCATGCAAGTTTTTTTGAAGTGTGATGTCAGCATCCTCAAAATGTCATCCCCTCCCCTGCCTCAATTTAATCTGGATTTGCCATTCCCGTACTTCATTTTGGGTTTTTTTACTGAGTTTTCCACAGAAACAGCAAATCCGGGATTAAATGAGGAAACAATATGAGGCAGCATTTTAATGAGCACAACATCTTGTGGACAAGGTGTGAGATGCATAGCCAGAAGCAGCATGGAATGTGCAATCCGCTGTCTTGTGGAAATCCCCAAAATACAAACAGATGTGTATAAAAAAACACAAAGGAGGAAAGATTGAGAAACAAGTATGCGCAAGATTCTGTTTTGGACAAACAAATGTTTAAACCAGTGGTTCTCAACCTTTTTCCGGCCATTGTCTGCTTGGTTCCATAAACTCATCCCCAATGCCCTTACCCTACACCTCAAAAAACATTATTCAGAATAGTGGTTTGCACAACCCACTAAGGAAGACAGTAGCACAACAAAATTCAAAACGGTAACAATTAGTTGCATATTTATCCAAAATCCAATTAAAGCTATTTAGTTTAATTCCGCAAAACTGGTTAAATTTATCCAGCAATGCCAGCTCTTCAAAGTCTGATAGCCATTTGCACCTCCAGCCTGCCGTCTCTTCCCTCTTAGTGCCCCCTAAGTAAACCCCCCTCCCCCCAGGGGGCAGTGCCGCCCACTTTGGAACCCGCTACAGTGGAACCTCAGTTTTCGAACGCAATCCGTTCCAGAAGACCGTTTGCCTTCCAAAACGTTCAAAAACTGTAGCATGCATTTTTGGAAGCATTTACGGCTTCCAAAAAGTGTTTGAAAACTGAAGCAGTTACTTCTGGGTTTTCGGCATTCGAAAATCAAAATGTTCGACTTCCGAGACGATAAAAAACTGAGGTACCACTATATTTTAAACAGCTAAGCACAATGTTTTTGAGCTGCTCAGAAGTGCTGACAGGGCCTTGCTCTTGTGAGTCTGACTACGGACAGGTGGAGAAATTCGATTTAAACAATTGAAGCAATATTCAGACTCAAACACAGCCATCCTTCAACATTTGCATTTCTCTGAAATTCTCAGTGCAATTCTCCAGCCCAGTAATGCGTACAGAAATGTATGTATTAAGGTTAAAGGGTGCACGAAAATCCATCTATTTGTGAAAATAACACACAAAAGTGTGTGATATTAGGGGGAAATTGTATGACACATATGTGAACATTGGTCAAAACTGCACAGAAAATTTAATAAGAGAAATTTGTGCTAGGATGCTGGTGAATTTTCATGGGGATCTTTACTAAAAAAACCTGATGTGGAAATGGGAAGAATGGATGTAAGATTGAAGGAACAAAAAACTAAAGAAACTGAAATTGAGGGATTCACTTATTCCTGGTACTGGTGCCCTGCAAGATGTCCAGACTTGCCTCAGCACTCAGTCTCTGACAGTGGAAAGCAAAGGACTCCAGAAATAGAAACTGATTACATGTCATTACAGATTAATTTGTTGCAATGCACAAAGCATGTGCTTGTGTGAATATAATTAAAAGACTTGCCCAAAAAAATTTCATGCGCTAAAAAAACCCCCAAAACTAATAATCACAGGAAGCCAGCAATTAAAGGTCTCCTTGGAGGGAGGATGGGAACTATTAAGGGCACAATTAAGAGAAGCGCTTCAAGTGGCAGCAACAGGCTGATGGATCGGGGATCCTGCCTCTCTGCTTGAAAAGAAGCAAGTGAAGAAGCTTCTCTTACTTTTGTATAGGAGGCTGAATGGGGGGCTTCCCTTGTGCTTAATCCGGAAGCTGCAGTTAGTGCAGAGTGCTACTGCACTATTGTGGACAGCAGTGAGGTTTTGTCACCTGTGCTCAGATCTGCACTGATTGCAGATTTGCTACTGGGTCAGGTTCAAGGTGTTACTATTAGTATATAAAACCCTTAAGAACTTGGAACCAGTACACCTTCAAGATCGCCTTCCCTACATGTCGGCGGGGTGGGTGGTGGGGAGGGCAGACGGAGTGTTTGCGAGTGGGAGGCCGATCTGTTTGGGACCCCCTCAACATTGGGGGTGCTCTGCCCCTGCCCACAAATACTGAGGGGGGCTTCTGGACAAATTGCAGAAGAGACATCTTTTCCTGGCTGCTAGCCAGAGTAGTCCCATGTAAGCCCTACAAACAGAGTTGGTCTGCTCTGAAGAGCAGGTTCTGAAGTCAAACAAGAAGAGGGGACCATTCCCTGCACACCCAGTTTGTGGGCTTCCCAAAGGCATCTAGCTGGCCACAGCAAAAGCAGGATGCTTGACTGACAATGTCCTGCAGCAACAAGTCCCAGAGTTTACTTGTTTGCTGTGTATCTGTCCTGAACACAGTACCAGTGGCTTTCACTGGATACAGCAGGGGCAGGGAACATCTGGTCCTCTAGATGTTGCTGAACGAAAACTCTTATCACCCCTGGCCATCGGCCATGCCTGCTGGGGCTGATGGGAGTTGTAGTTCAGCAACATCTGCAGGGCCAAAGGTCCCCCACTCCTGCGAGAGAGTAAGGGAAGAAGTGAATTCAGCAGAGAGACGTGATAGGTGTAGCATTCAGAGTGGCCTGCTGTGACACTGCAGTGCATCACAGTCGGGGGGGGGGCTGTGCTGTTGACACAGCGGCTAGAGAGAGCTCTTTGGGGGTGCAGTGAGCAGGGGGCGGCCCTTGGACCTGGAATGCCAATCCTTTGGTCCTTCCGCTGTGTGATCAATCATTCATCTGGCTTTATTTCTGTGTTGGGTAATTAAGAGGCCTTGTTTATAGCTGCTGCTGCTGTTGTTCTCTGTCGGCTGAAGGTAAAGAAGCCCGCAGATGTTTTTATTATGTTTTCCCAAGGCTCCAGGGATGGCGAGGAAATTTCCACTGGCTCATCTCAGCACAAACTGTCACACAGGTTGCATGAGACAGCCACGGGGAACCAGGGTCCTTCAGGTAAAGAGGAGGAGGAGAGCTTAGCTGGTGCGCTTTCTCCTCAACCAGCTCATTCTTCAGAGCAGAAGGCCAGCATAGAGATTAAGTGAGCTTGCATATGATGCTAAGCTTTAAGGTCGAGTGCAATCCCCCAAAGTGCATCATATGCTTGTGGAGTGCACCTCATCCCCTACTCAGCAAATTCAGTGCTCCCTCATTTGCTGGAAGTGCCAGCTCTGCCATTAGGCGAAGTGTGGCAAACACCTCAGGCAGCAGATACAGCGGGTAGCAGCAGCGGCAACCCCCCACCAAGCACCATTCCATGCCAGTGTCAACAGCAACTTCTAGCCCAATCAGCTTCTTGCCCTTGCCCTGGGCAGCAAAATGGTGGGGCCAGCCCTGATTCCTGACTGAATTCCCACAGCAGCTCTTTTGCTCCAGCTGCTCCCACTCCTCCAGAACCAAGGGGTGTCGACAGGATCTCGTTGCAGCAAACACAAGCCATCAAAGGCCATTAGCAATGGCCAAATGAGATCTCACTTGCCTAAGGGTGTAGAGAGCAGAGCAAGCAGAAGTCTAAGGTTCATCCCATAAATTATCAGGGAAGGTAGGAGAGAATCCCTGTCTGAAAACTTCTGCGCTCAACTACCTAGGGATAAGAACTACTCAGCCTTTTCCGGATGTCCTGATCACAATAGCTGAAAATTCATTGATTTTTAAGAGTTCCAGGGTTCAAAGTATGGATATTACAGGTACTTATGTCGTTCTACTTATCCAAATACAAATCTATGCCTGGAGATACCTACAAAGATGGTTTCCCCCCGGATTTACTGTATTCGATATTGTTACTGATCCATTGCACAAATCTGTCTTATCATTGTATGTTTAAACTTCTGCAATAAACCATTTCTCCACTCTGCATCAAATGTTCATTTGCTTAAATTGTGGACCATTGGATGTTGACAAGGCAAGCCACTGTTTCTTTCTGTATCTCTCAAACATTTGTATTACAGATAGGTAGCGTGTTGGTTCTGCCATAGTCAAAACAAAAAAATTCCTTCCAGTAGCACCTTAAAGACCAACTAAGTTAGTTCTTGGTATGAGCTTTCGTGTGCATGCACACTTCTTCAGATCTGAATTTTTTTTGTTTTAAACATTTGTATTGTTATCTGAAATAAAATAATTAAATGTTGGCAAGGGGAGTTACTCCCACTAATAATTCTGTTTAGGACTGTGAATGTAACAGCTCAAATTTCTTTTGTGTATATGTTAGAAGAAGAAGAGAAGAGTTTGGATTTGATATCCGCCTTTCACTCCCTTTAAGGAGTCTCAAGCGGCTAACATTCTCCTTTCCCTTCCTCCCCCACAACAAACACTCTGTGAGGTGAGTGGGC